GAGAATCATACTCTTTTCTTATCCTTTATTACCTCCCTTCTCATATTTCTTTTTTTTATTATATCCCATTCCTCCTCTCAAGCCCTCATGCTGCATTTGTTACTGAGTACCATTAGTTCTACCTTCAAATCATCTCTCAGTTTCATTTTTCTGTCTTCTTTGGTACCACTGTGGACCAGGTAGCCATCATCTCTTGCTTGCGTGGAGTATGACAGTTGTATCCAATAGGTCCAGTCTGGTCTCTCCTCAGGTCTTTTAAGTGCAATGTACCCTTCCTTATACAGGTCTATCATAGAAGCTGTTCTCATAGTTTGAAGCTACCTACCATTTACCTAGGTTACCTTTTCTTGGCCTTCACATCTTGGTTTCAAGTCAGTTCTCAGAAGGAAGCCTCCTTCTTCCCAGGACTATATCTGTTTTGTCCCTAGCATGTCTGGTGTAAAATATTTGTTGGATTGAATGAGTAGCTGGTAGGTAGGTTGGACAGATGGATGGATAGATCAGGAATCTGAACCAAAGGAAGTATTCAGACATGTATATCTGAAGCCCTTGATCAGAGGAGGTGGTTAGTGAGAGTTTTGACACGTGATAAAACAAATTGTACCAGAGGTTTTAAAGAAAAAGGCAATGTTTTTCCAAACTTCTATTCCTACCCTACTACTCCTTAGAGACAGATACTTCTCCTGTTTTCCATTCTTTTGAAAAATAATTCTGGAAATTGCTTTGATTAAGCAACTATTGACCTTCACAATATGGCACTTATATAGACCAATGCAAGGTAAGAACAGTGTGGTATAGGAGAATCATAAGAATAGGTTTCTAAATCAGTAAAGTTAGAAATCAAATTCTAGCTGTGCCAGTTATGGCTTATGTGACCTTGAGCAGTAGTACTCTTTTGGGGAAACCAAATTTTCCTCTTTGTAAAATGAAGCAGATAGTCTTCCATTTTCTAGGCATTTAATTATAACTTTCTCTTAACCCTCATTTCATTTTCCCAGGAATGCTTTGAAGAGGACCCAGGGCGCAAGTGGATGGATGGCTTGCTTAATAACCTAGAGTGCCAGGATGGGTCCCACATGGGGCCCTTCATTGATTCCTACCGTTATTTTCAACCACAGCAAGAAGGGGCCTTTACCTGTTGGTCAGTGATCAGTGGTGCCCGCCATCTCAACTATGGCTCCCGGCTTGACTATGTGCTAGGGGACAGGACTCTGGTTATGGACACCTTCCAGGCCTCTTTCCTGCTCCCTGAAATTATGGGCTCTGACCATTGCCCTGTGGGTGCCGTTTTGAATGTGTCTTCTGTGCCTGCAAAACACTGCCCACCCCTCTGTACTCGCTTCTTTCCTGAGTTTGCAGGTACTCAGCTCAAGATTCTGCGTTTCCTAGTTCCCTTTGAACACAAACCTGTATTGAAGCAGTCAGCTTTGCAACTCAGCAATCAAACTCAGGTACAGAAACAACAAAACAAATTCTGTGTTCGCTCAGCCAGGACTCGGCCAAGTCCAGCTAGCACCAAAAGAGGCCAGAAAAACATGACAAGCTACTTCCGGCCCTCTTCCAGCCATCTCCAAACTTCTTCTGACTTGAAGCTGCCTACCCTGCCTCTGGTGGGTACCCTCATGACCATAAAGACTCCAGAAGAAGAGGAAATAGCCAAAGTGGTTGAAGGGGACATAAAGGCTTCAGGGGCTAAAGAGGAGAAGGAGGTACTGACCTCATTCTGGAGGTCTGTGCTGGCAGGGCCTTTGCCAATGCCCCTCTGTAGAGGCCACAGGGAGCCATGTGTGATGCGTACTGTGAAGAAGCCAGGACCCAACCTGGGCCGCCGCTTCTACATGTGTGCCAGGCCTCAAGGTTCTCCCAGTGACCCCTCCTCCCGCTGCAATTTCTTCCAGTGGACTAGGCCCAGCTGAACCAACTGAAGCCTAGTAATATCTGGCATGGTCACCCTTGTACAGGATCTGATGCCAGCTCCCTTCTAAGTTGCTAATGCTGCCTTCTCTCCCATGGCCTCCTTTCCTCCTTTCTTCATCCTCCTCTTCTTTCTTTTTCTTGCTTTTCTGTCTCATAAAAGGCTCCCATTTTACCTGGTGCAACTTTTTGTCCTCCTCTGAGGCCCCTCTTTCTCTTTCTTCTTACTTAACTTCCCTGTTAATGAGCTTCTTGTACCTCAATGCTGTAACCCAGTCCTCCTACCCCACTTTACACCTTCCTGTCAGAAGTACATGGGAACCAGGTGTTCTAAGCAGTTGACATTTTAAACCCCATCTGTCCTTATTGGGAAATATTCATAAATAAAGTATCTTTGTTACAGAGAATCACATTGAATGGACATTTTGGATATGTTCCATATAGTTACAGAGTCACAAGCTATCTCAATACATGATTTGCTGGTACCTGCATCCCTAATGATACATCACCTAGGGAGAGAAGAGTGATGATTATTATAAACAGCTGGGTTGTAGAGGGTCCCTGAACTGCTGAGCTTGGATCGGTAAGAGTGGCAGGTGTGGTGTGGTGTGGTGTGGTGTGGTAAAAAGCATGGTGGACTGTATGGCCTAAACAATAGCTTCCCAGCTAGTGTGTCCTGTCCCCCAGCTGTCTTATATGGGTTACATAATGGAAAGGAATAGTCACTGAGCCCTCAAGAGTTGCAAAGCAGGGCTTGAGATACCACAAATTTCAGACAAGATTGTCCCCTCAGCAGGTACTTTTCCTTTTTGAGATTTCCTTGAACATGTTGCTTGCTATAACTAAGCTTCTTTTTTCACCTTAGAAATGAGACTGGTAAGTACTACAAGATACTATGAGAGAGAAAGAGAAAACAGTTGACATCCAGACCCACTTCTGGAAAATAACCTCAGTATGGAGGAACCATTCCTTCCTTCTAGGCAGTTTGGTTGGGAGTCTCTCATCTGGCATTAGAGACTATTTGGGACGCAGGTTTCCAATTCCCACTAAAAACGAACTAGACAAAGATGCCCACTGTCTTCACTCTTGTTCAATATAGACCTCAAAACATTACAGCAACTGGACAAGAAAGAAGAGGGACGCATATAGGAAAGAAGTCAGAATCATTACTTGCAGATGACATGGTCCTCTAAATAAAAGACCCAAAGTATTCCAACAAAAGGTACCTAAAATTAATAACCATATTCAACAATGTAGCAGAGTACAAATGAACATACAAAAATCAATAATGTTCCTGTACACTAATAACTTGCTAACAGTGAAATTAGGAAGCATTCAAAACAGCATCAAGAAAAATTAAATACTTAGGAATGAACCTAACCAAGGAAGTGAAAGACCTCTACATTGAAAATTACATCACTCTAAAAAGAGATTGGAGAAGATATCAGAAATGGAAAGATGTTCCTAGATAGATAGAACCAATGTAGTCAAAATGGCTATACTTCCAAAATATACATAAATTTAAAAGTATCTCAGTGAAAATGCCAACAGTAATCCTAAATTCATATAAAACCAGAAGAGACCCAGAATAGCAAAAGCAGTCCTGGGTAACAAAAGCAAGGCAGGAGGCATCACAATGCCAGATCTGAAGTTACATTACAAAGCTACAGTGATTAAAAACAGCATGGTACTGGCACAAAAACAGAGATCAATGGAATAGAATAGAGAAAGCAGTAACAGCCCTAGGCACATTGAACTATTTGATCTTTGAAAAGGGGGTGAGGAAAAATAGCCTCTTTAATAAACGATGCTGAGAGAATAGGGTATCTGTGCAGAAGAATGAGTCTAAACCCATATATCTCACCATGTAGCAAAATAAAAATGGATCAGAGATCTAAATGTTAGACAAACTGTTGGAAGATAAAATAGGTACAACTCAAAGATAGACACAGGTAAGAACTTTCTGAAAACCCCAATGGCACAAGAAATAGTACCAAGAATTAACAGATGGGATCATATCAGATTAAAAAGCTTCTGCACAGCAAAGAAAACCAACAGAGTAAGAGACAACCTACAGAATGGGAAAAAATTTTGCCAACTATTCTTGGTCAGAGGACTAACATCTAGAATATATAAAGAACTCACTTAGAACCTCCCCCAATAAAAGACAACAAAAATGGGTAATTGAATAGGTATTTCTCAAAAGAAGTGCAAATAGCAATAAATACATGAAAGATTTTTCAACATCCCTAGACATTAGAAAAATGCAAATTAAAACAATACTGAGGTTCATCTTCAAAAAGAATGGCTATTGTCAAGAAATTAAATAACAAATGTTGACAATGCTCTGGGGAAGAAAATTCTACACTTGGTAGGAATATAAATGGGCACAAATACTATGGAAATCAGTATGGACAGTCTTTATAAAACCAAAACCAGAAAGTCTGACTCATCTCTTCCTCTTCAAGGTATCGCCCCATTATATTATAGTGACATATACATACCTATGTTTATAAGCAGCGCAATTTATAGTAGCTAAGTCTTGGAAATGGACCAAGTGCCTATCAATGAATGGATAAAGAAAATGTATATGCAATGAAATAGTATTATTCCATAAATGAAATCAAACACACAAGCTTAAATGTTGCATGATTTCAATGAGAAACCCAAAATTTATAAATAAAAAACAAAAAGTAGATAATAGGAAATAGATCTTTTTCAAGTGGGGAGGGGACCAACAAATGGAGCAGGGAGGGATGGGAGAGGTAAGGGACCAAAACAAAGGTGTTTTGTATGTATACCAGCTCCCCATGATAAATATAATCGTGCTGTGAACAAGTAGTAATAAAAAACAAAAGTGAGCCCTGGAATTTTGTTGAAAAGTAATTTCAAATCCACCAAATTTTTTGGCTCTTTGTGCTACTTATTGTATAGTTTTTGTCCAATTTTTCCCTCTTTCTGGATCTGGATTCCCCTGATGGTAAGATGAGGTAGTCAGACCAATAAGTGATCTGTGGTTCTTTTCATGGTCCTGGCACTTGACTGAGGAAGTCCAGTATAGTGTACTTGTTTTCTGTCCAATAAAGGGTGACAAATGCTGCAATTTGCTCTTTATTTTTAGATTCAAATCAGCTAGAGGCACACAACAAAGCAGAGGACAGGAGGAGGCCCAGCCCCAAGTGAAGTGCAGGTGGGACAAGCATCTGAGGCAGCTGGCTTCTCAGGCATAGGTGGTAACATATTGGGGTCCCATATTCCCAAAGTAGGAGCGTTCCCACTCACTCATGAGCTCAAAGTGCACAGGACGGTGACAGAAATTGCAGGCAGCCACAGACACATCCTGGAGGGGCAGCCCCACCTCAGTCCAGACTGCCAGCAACTTATCTGAAAGTGGTAGGGAGAGGGGAAGGAAAGAATTGGTTAGATTTGGTCTTCAAAATCCCTGTGTCACTGTACAAATATGCCAAGATATTGATCCCCTTAGACCTTTGAGGTGCCTCAAGGACATCAGTAGCTTTATTTGCTCCAGTATGAGCCGTGAATATTACTGTCTATGAGCACTAGGATGTATAAGACTGGGGATGTAGCTCAGTGGAGCAGGTGCCCACCTAGCACTAGGATGTATAGAGGTTTGGGAAGCACTCTGCCACAATCTAAATTCATACTATCCTGGTCCAGACCATTTCATAAGTACAGGCACATGTGGCATGAAAAGTGAAACAATCTGCTTGGAAACTTCAACCTTCGTGGGATGATTAGACTAACACTAACCACACAATGTCATCAGAGTTATGACTAGGAAGCCTGGAGCAGTGTGTGTAGAGTAGTCATTCTTGGGTACAGGAACTCAGAGGAGAGAACCTGACCCAGCTGTAAGAAGTAGCTTGTGCATGCCAAGGTTCTGCCCTTAGACTTTTTTCTATGTTCATGCCCTTGATGATCTCGTCTAGTCTCTTGGCTTTCTACAGTATATGCTGATGATTCTTAAATTTTCATTTCTGGTCCAGAACTCTATTTCCAGACTTGTATGTCCAGTGGCCTTTCTGCATCTGAACTGATATCTAAGGGGTATAACTAACTTAACATGATCCCAGCTGAGCTACTCATATTTGACCGCCACCATACCTACTCTACTTTTAGCCTTTCTCATCTCAGTTTATGGCAATCCCAGAGTTGTTCAGGCCAAAAATTTTAGAGCCATTGTTTGTTTTCCCCCTTTTCTCTTACTCCATATTCTATCAGCAAAAACCATCTTTAAAATCTAACCACTTATCACCTCCCTTGCTGTCATGCAGTCTATGCCATTATGATCTCTCGCTGGAATCATCTCACTATCACCTTCTCCTGGGACTATCTCTTCACACTTTATCCTTTTCAGTATATTCTCAACATAGAACTTGAAGAATTTTTAAATTTTGAGTCAGATATTTCAGTTCTCTGCTCAGATATTTCCAAAGAGTCTGGGAATAAAATCCAAAATCCTTCCAATGGCCTACAATGCCCTATACAATCTGATCGTGTATTGCTCTCTCTGCTCAATTATTCTTCCACTTGCTAACACTACTCCACCCATACTCATCTTGTTCTTCAAATACAAAAGGAATTCTGGTGTTAGGGTGTTCCCTACTTTAAGCTGTTCTTTCTGCCTAGGATGCCCTTCTCTTAGCTATCTGTCCAGATAATTCCATCATTTCCTTCAAATCTGCTCAAATATCAACTCAATGCCCTCTCCTCTTACCACTCTAATACGACATTCATTCTCCAAACTAACCCCTGCTCCTAGAACTTTCTATCCCCCATTCTACTTTATTTTTTCCTATAACACTAAGAAATAGCTGGTCATTTAATTTGCTTATTTAAAAAATGTTTGACTATCTCCATCCAATAGAATATAAGCTCCAGAAAGGTAGAAATTTTGTGTCTAATTTGTTTACTACTGTGTTCTCAGCACCTAGACTAATATCTACAGTAAGTACCATAAATATTTGTTGAAAGAATGGAGGATGCTTGAATTAAGACTAGAAGATGAAGGGAAGTAAGCCAAAAGAATGGGTGATGAAGAACATTTCAGTAAGAAGAGAGCATCATCCAGAAGGGCCCAGAGGCAATAAATCAGCAAAATGAGTAAACTAGAAATCATTTGGTGTAGCTGGAGAATACAGTACATATTGTGGAGAGGAGTGGGTGCAATCATCACCATGTGGAAGACATTGTATACCATTCAATTGAGACTCAACTCTTGTATAGATCAGGGGTCTACAAATTTTGGACTAAACCTACTCAGTCCAAATGGTTTAGCATATACTTTAAATCTTTGTATGTTTACATATTTTATGCAGGTATCATTGCCAGCCTGTATTCTAAAACAATATCAAGGAAGCTTAATTTCCTATTTTTAAGATTAAAAATAAACATTCTAATACTCTTTTCCCATCACCCTACGTATTACCTTGTGTACCTCATTTTGGAGATCACTCCTCTGGTGTCTAGACAATAGAGAAATCTGAAGAGGTTTAAAGGAAGCAATACTGTCAAGTTTTCTTTTTAAAGAATCTCTCAGTATTTGTGTAGAGAAAGGATTGGAGAGGAACTTGAGAGAAGCTGAGAAACTAGGAAAAAATCACGTTGACATGAATTGAAATGTCAGTGGAGAAAAAACAGATTTGAGAAAAATTGTAGAAATTTTCAGGATTTCAGGGTCTGTTGGGTATGGGATTGAGGGACTGGTACAGTCATGATAGATCCCTCTCATAATATCTTTTCTGCAAAAGCCCAGCCTCAGTGAATACTCAGATACCTAAGAACATCCAGAGCTCTGTAATTGAAGCCTATACCGATTGAAAAAATAGTGTCCAAAATTCTAGTTCATCAGATCAGAGAGCCAGAAGACTGAATGGTTATGACTATGGAGATAGGAATAGGCCCCCTAGTCCCAGTCTAGTACCTGGACCTCAATTTTCACAAAGACAAAAATGGAAATGATAACAGCATCTCTACCTCCTAAGACTGTTGCAAATGTTAAACGAGTTAACACACATAAAGTGTTTAGAACAGTGCTTCTTCACACTTGTAAGTGCCGAAAAATGCTAACAAGCATTATCTAATAGTTTTGGGTGAATGGATGGCACCTACCTATTTTGTGTTCCTCAAACTCTTATACTGCCTATACTTCAGACAGACAGAATAACTATTGTTAGTGCATTTCTCTGCTGTCCTATCTCAGCTATTGCTCCTTGAAATTCCCTTATTCTAGAATATCCTTGTACCATATCTACATGTACTTCAAGTGGAACACAAGGATTTCCTCACCCACTGAGCCTTTCTAATTTCATTCTTCCCACCCTCTCCAGCCCTGAGTGAGCTCTCTCCTTCCAGCCCATAGAACAGTCATATTGAACTCATTACATTGGACCAGCACTATAGTCTGTCTCCTCTTCCAAACTATTGACTGCCTGTGTGTCTCTCATCCTGTAGAAATGGAATGAGGCTCTACAAGCCTCTCAATCTAGTCCCAGTCTTGCATTGCCTTGTGGACTCAGATTGACTCTTTCTACTCCTACTACCTTGCATGCCAGAAATATTGGCTTATTGTTCTCGATATAACTCAAGTTGCTTCTTATATCCATCCTTGCCTTTCCTCATGCTCTTTCCTCTGCTAGGAATATGTCTTCAATGCCTTCTTTCTTCTCTTAGTCCTATTCCATTGACCATACAAGACTCAGTTCAGATGTCACCTTCACTAGGATCCCTGCCTTGGTACCCCAAGCTGAGTTATGCCTATCCTCTTGCTCCTCTTTTCTTTCACCATAGCTCATCTATGTACTGTCTTTGTTAAGCTTTGATCATCCCTTGATATTATGTGTGTTTGCCACCTGTGGTCTCCCCAATTAAATTAGAGCCCTGTGAGCCTATGGGCTATTTCTCATTCAGTTGTGACAGCACTATAGGGCCTGGCACATAAGAGATGTTCCAGAAATAATTTCTGATCTGAATGGAAAATATCCTCTTGACTTCTTCATCTATGGATGAGGGGTGGTAAAGTTGAGGACTCACCAATAAAATCTTCCATCATCTGAGGGCTGTGGTGGGGAGAGGGTGCCAGACGTAGAAGCTCCTCACCACGGGGAACAGTTGGATAGTTGATGGCCTGCACATAGATACCATGCTTGGAGAGCAGGAGATCACAGATCTTGCTGTTGAGTTCTGCATTACCCACCTGGGCTCAAAATAAAAACCTTTTATTATCTTCTAACCAGGGCATACCACCACTAGCTCTATTAAGCAGAGGGACCCAGATCAATGAACACCACTGATTTTGGGGGCAAAGGATTTTTATGTGGGGGTTACTTAACGGCAGCTTCAGAATTTTTGTGAAGGAGGATCTGAGACCTAGTAATCAGGTTTGAAGGAGAGATGTGGGTAGCACCAGAGGCCTTGTCTTGAAGGTATTTGCAAAGCAAGCACTTTGGTAAATTTGGAATGGTTCTGGTTGAGGAGAGAAGCTTACCAAGCTATCTCTAGGATAGTGTTGATGGATTAATTTTTAAAAAGCAGTCTTTCAAGGGAACTTTGGATTAGCCTTAGAAACAGTGACTATAGTCAGCTCTCTGTGTCTGTTGGTCCTGTTGCAGACTCAGATTGACTCTTTCCTCCAAGTATTCAACCAACCTCAGATCAGAAATAACTTTTAATAACTGTATATAGCCAGGCATAGTGGCACATGCTTGTAATTCCAGCATTTGAGAAGTTGAGGCAAGAGGACTGCTACAAGTTTGAGGCCAGCCTGGGCTATACAGTGTGAGTTCAACACCAGCCTGAGTTACATAGGAAGACTCTGCTTCAAAACAAAACAAAACACTATGTGTAATGAGCACACACAGAATTTTCTAGTTAATTCTTAAGCGATACAGTAAAGCAACTATTCCTATAGCACTTATACTGTATTATGTACTATAAGTAAATAGGAATGATTTAGTATACGGGAGGATTGGGTAGGTTATATGCAAATACTTGAGCAGTCACAAATTTTGGTAAGGATGGGGGTGGTGCTGGAGCCAATCCTCTGTGAATACCATGAAATGACTGTATTTCATTCTCATGCACAAAATTGTCACAAAAAGGTATTCTTGTCACAACATGGCTTACCAATTCACACAAATACATGCTGAGAGCTGTTCATTTTTTAAGGCATTACAAACACTCATAGTTGGAAATCCAAAATAGAAGCTAGTCCTATGGCTTTTAATTTTACTTTTATGACCTCAATTCTCATTAACAAATATGTTTTACACTATACCCATATGAGTACATATAGACATACACACATACATGCACAAATACACCTGTATAAAATCCCTCACAAATTGATATCCCTTTTGTGACATACTCCAACATATTCTATTTTTAATGCTAATCATAACTCACTAAACTGATTTTGTGGCCCACTAATGGTCTTGATAAACAGTTTGAATACCACTGAATTGTAAGTCATGAGTTCTCAGTATTGTGTTGGTCAGAACAGTCTGACAATCATGAGATAATAGCTAATGCAAAAAGAAGTTGGTTAGATCAAAATGGCTGATGATTTTTCAAAAAGAGGGGTAAAGCTGGCTGTAAGGAGGATGGTTCACAGGAACACAGTTATGACAAGAGTAGGTATAGATTTTCTGGGGGTGGGAAGGTTCTCAAAAGAGATAGCTGGGGAAGGCAGTGGGCAGGGTGGGGTTCTCACCCGGATAGGAATGATATGGCTGGGGCAGGGGATGACAGGAAGGCCCCTGTCCATTAGTAGCTGGCGCATGTGCTTGACGTTGCGCTGGTGGGCTCGCCTCAGGGCTTGGCCCTCCTCTCCCTTGAGCACACGCACAGATTCTAAAGCCCCAGAAAGCACCATGGGGGGCAGTGAAGTGGTGAAGATGAAGCCAGCAGCATAGGAGCGCACCATGTCCACCAAGTCACAAGTGCTGGCAATATAGCCGCCTACACAGCCAAAGGCTTTGCCTGGAGACAGAAAAGAGAAAGATATACACAGATTCCTTAATTAGTCTCTGTAGGAATAGGATCAGGCCTCAGGGAAAACAAGCAGATGCACCTCAAACCAGGGTTCCAGGACTTCCTTCCCAGGCCTCTGCTCCTCTTTCTTGTTCATGACAAGGCAGACAGAGTTGTTAATTCTGTGGCTCTAAGATAGGACTTTCAAGTTCTACCATATGTAACGACTAGATAGGAAGGACCAGGGTGTGGACCTTTAGCTGATTAGAGACAGGAGTGTAGCTAAAATAAAGCTTAGGGATGGTGTGGGGGAGGAAAACACAGTTCCTCACTTACTCAAGTTGAACCTGGCTGGCTATTTGGCCCAGCTTATGGGTCTTTTCAAACACCACCCCAGACTTTCTCAACAACCTGGCAGTGGAATGAGACTGAAGAGAGGGAATTCAAGAGAAGAGTACTCTGGAGCTCTAAATTCTACTTAAATTCACTCCTGAAGCCGTGGGGAGAAGGATGTAAAAGGTGTTAGGGAGACTTCCTCTCTGGATTGAATATGAGGGAGGTCCAAAGCATTCACTCACCAAGAGTTCCAGAGACAATATCAATCTTGTGCATAATTCCATCACGTTCTCCAATCCCAGCACCCCGAGACCCATACAGTCCCACAGCATGGACTTCATCCACAAAAGTCAGGGCTCCATAATGGTGGGCAACATCACACAACTCCTCAAGGGGACAGATGGCACCTAAGCAAAATTAAAATATAGGGGTAGGAAATCATAACCCTTCCCCAACTCCATCCATACCTACTTGGCTTTGAAAAAGGTGTTAGGGAAGAGGGTGTCTACTCTCGTTTGAGGCTATTCCAACAACCACTTCGTGTGTGTGTGTGTGTGTGTGTGTGTGTGTGTGTTCCCAAGCCTGAGATCAAGACTTGGCTCTCTGTATTTATTTTTATTTCATTTTGTTGATGTATAGCCCCTTGTTTCTGTCATTTTGGCCTTAGTCAGTTACTATCAACAGCCCTATGAATATTTTTATTCGTCTTTAGTTCTCCCTGTTTCTATCTTTCTAGATTTCTTTCACTATCTCCTTTCTGTGTCCATTTCTATCTTTATTTTTATGTCTGTTTTTATGTCTCCCTTTGTTTTGCTCACTACTCTGCCCTCCTTGCGCTCTCTCTCTCTCTCTCTCTCTCTCTCTCTCTCTCTCCATCAGTTCTCTTTTCCTTTCCTCACAGTTCGTAGCCCTTTCTGTCTGACTGTCTTCAGACTTTCTCGGTGCCATTGTGTCCCTTTCTGAGTTCTCTGTGCTTCTGCCTCTATCTTTTCTGTGTTTCTCTCTTGCCTCTGTCAGTGTAGTTCCCTTAGGAACCTCTCCCTCAGGCTCAGTTATAATCTACCAGTGAAAGCGAATTAGGAGTAATCAGTATGTTTTCCTCCATTTTCCATACAGATTTAGCATTGTTCATGTTTATTCTAGTATCATCTATACTAACAGTTGGGTATTCAAATGTGAATCTCATATATAGACTTAATGGCCACTCTGCGTATTACAAGGACCCACACATTTTGCCATTCCCCATCTCTCTACTCTCTAGAAACTCCTGAGATAGAAGGGGTTGAAATACAGAAATTTCTACAGGTGGAAACAGGAGTTCCAGACCAGGAATAAAGAATATGAGCATGTGTAGGATAACATAAAGAGAGCCAACCACAAGACATAGAGCCTGAGACAAAGAAGGCCATGTAATGGTTCAATAATCCTTTCAATGAGAGATAGTCAACCCTCAAATTTATAGTTTGGGCAGATTTTATAGAAAAAAAACACTAATGGACCATTCATTTGTTAATGTAAATGTCATATTTTCTACTAAAGAAATAATGAATTTGAATAATCTCAGTCTTAGAAATATGGTTAGAAATAGTGATGGGTTTACTCTATTCCTGGTTGTAGAAATATGAACAGGAACATGACAGTAAATTACTTACATCTATTAACTCATTTAAGTCTCCCAGCTTTTTTTATTCAGCACTGGGTATTGAACCTAGTGCCTTTTCACTGAGCTACATCTCCTGCCCTAATTTTATTTCGAGAAAAGAGCTTGCTAAGATGTTGAGTTGCCCAGACTGAACTCAAACGTGTGATCCTACTTCCTCAGCCTCCCAGAGTACTAGGATTATAGTCACGCACCACCATGCCTGGCTTCTCTTTTATTGTCAATCACTACCATTTTATAAACAAGGTAATTGAAGTACAGCGCAATTAAGAAATTTGCCAAAGCTAATGAGATTATGCTGCGATTTGAACATGGACAGCTTGGTATCAGAGCTTGTGTGCACAATCATTACATGATACTTAAATAAATCAGGGAATACTATGAATTCTCTCTTGTTTCAATTACAAAAGAGGCAAACCAAGATGAAATGAGGACCTCATTTTTTAAATAAACCCATAATGGGATTCCTAAAACATGTGGCTTCTGCTCAGTAGGGCCAGTAATAGAAAGCTTTGGGCATTGTTTCAACTGCAAGAGGAAAAGAGGTAGAAGGGTAAAGTCATTTATTTCTACTAAAGCATAATTAATTGAATGGCCTCCATTATTAGTAATTCTTACAACCAGTTATTATTTTCCCTTGGGGAAAGTTGAGGCTCGGTATGTTAGAGCTACCCAAGGTCATACAGAGAGTGCATATCAAAGGTGGGTTGAACCCAGGTCTGTCTGACTTGAAAACCTGTTTTTATTTCAATGTTTCATACTGGAACTTTAAAAAAACCCTAGGCAATGGTTTGTGAAACTTTCCATTGTAGAAACATTGATGTAATTGATTTAGACATTATTTCTAATGAAAGGAGTGTCATGTGAAGGAATTGGTGTAATATGTCCTAGGGTGGAAACACACACACAGCTTCAGTTTGATATTTAGTTTATGTACTGTTAGATAAGTGAGATATTTGTCTCTATCCTTTGGCATTTACCAGTTGTGTGACCTATGCAAGTTATTCTACTTGTTTATGTCTCAGCTTCCTCATTAAAAAAATAGTGCTAGCATCTAACTCATAAAATCCTGAAGCTTAAATGAATTAATACATGTAAAATACTAAGAATTTAGTTTGGCATGCAATAAGTACTTTAAAGATGTTAGTTGTTACCATCATCATCATGGGTTTTATGAGACAATTCTAGTAAACATGCACTCATATATACACATACCATCCATGGAGTGAACAGTCTCAAAGGCCACAATTTTGGGTATCTTAGGGTTGGACTTCTCTAGAAGTTTCTTCAGGTGGTCAGGGTCATTGTGCCTGAAGACAAACTTGGTGGCACCACTGTTGCGAATACCTTGGATCATGGAAGCATGGTTGCCTGCATCTGAGTAAATTTCACACCCTGAGGAATTAAATGTATAATTCTTAAGCTTCTGTCTCAGTACTCCCACTTCAACCTCAAGATATAACCTGACAGGGAAAGAGATTCAATCTCTTCTTCACTTTGAAAACTATACTTTGCTTTCTCTTCCTGCGGAAACCTTTGTGATATCTCGTCCCTCCTTGGAAGAAGTTCCTTGTCCTGAAATTCTGGACTTAATTTCTTCTTTAAATCATTTCTAATACTGCTTTTGCCTCTATTTTGGAGTGGAGGAAAATTTAATTTCTCAGGAAACTTTAGAGTTCCTTGAGGACAAGCCTAGGTTCATTCTCCACAACACATAAGATCAAGACTTGGAAAGGATATTTTTGCCAGAGAAATCTTGTAGATTTAGGCTCATGCTGAAATCTTTCCAGCCTATATGAAAACCCAACCTTCCAAGTAGCATCAGTCTAGCATCTATCTATATAGATATCGATCTATATATATCTATATAGTTATAGGTATAAGTATAGGGATGAAATCCTATCAGGCTTTCAGTGTTGGAATCATACAATCATGGAAAGTCAGAGAAAGAAGGGAAGTTAATCATTATGGAATTTCACCACTTTACATGGGAGAGAAAGGAAGGCCTCTATGTAGAACCTGAGGAGAGCAGGCGTTTTACTGTGCATTTCTGTGAGGGCAGGTAGGAGTGCGAAGTTGATGGAGAGAGTTGTTTCTTAAATCACTTTACTTGCACAGACATCAAGAAATTGCAGCCCTTCATAAGAGTAAGGAATAACTTCTACTTGAGAAAATGAGTCGTGATTTCTTAGAGGACAAAATTTGAAAGATTGGGAAGTTTTTATTTGTTTATTTGTTTGTTTTTGTGATATTGGTATTTGAACCCAGGGCTCTCAGCTCAGACTTACAGTTTCTTGAGAACAGAAACAAAATCCTTTTATTTTTCTATACTTTGTAACCAGTACACAATGAATGCTAAGTAAAAATTTCTTGAGTGAATGGATGTATAAACAAATGACTGATTTATAAGTGAGAGAATAAGTAAATGAACAAATTACTGTATGAAAGAGTAAGAGGAGAGGATGTCCAAAGATAAGACTGAAGAAATAAGTAGAAGCTAAATTATTGAGAGCTTTAGAAGCCATTATAGGGAGTTTATATTTAATCTTAAGGATAATGGGAGTCCATTAAAGAATTTTGACCAGGGAAGCAACAAAGACAGGCTTGCATTTGAAAAACATTTTTTGACTACTGTGAAGAATAGATTATAAGAGAGCAATGATGAAATGTTAATATGACTTTGGAGTAGACTAGAATGTGGCAGTAGAAATGGAACAAACTTGAATTCCAATGGTTGAAAAGGAGGGGATTGACAAAATAAATCCTAAAGATGTTGAATTTATTTGGATGTTATGGGTATAACTTCAGAAAAGTTTTCAAATAATGGTTATATTTACACTATGCTGAGGAATCACAAAAGGAGAGGCAGTAAATAGCAAGTGTAAAGACTTTTCTCAAGCAGTTTACCAGAGAGAGACAGGACAGTAGCTAGAGAATGATGGGGAGTTAAGGCAATATTCCTTTTAAATGCAAAAGACTTAAACATAATTAAAGATATAGGCAAGAGGAAGAGAGTTGGTAGATCAAGATTCCAGAGGAGGTAGTAGGGAATGAGGCACAGAATATCAGTGAAAAGATTAGTCAACAAGAAAAATGACACCTCCTACACTGTAACAGGAAAGAAAGAGTAAGGAGAGAACAGGTGGGGATGTCTGTAAGCTTGTAGGTACTTTGTGGCTAGGAGTTGAGGATATTGCTGTCTACTGTCTTCTATTTTCAGTGCAGTAGAAGGTGAGGAAATCTGATGAAGAGGAGAGAGAGAAGGAATGATGAGGGTTGGAATTGGAGTAAAACTATTCTAGAGACTTGAAAAACTGACCAAGGAAACAGAATTGTTAGATAGCATAAAGTATCAGAGGGTGGGCTGAGAAATATGACTTTTAGTGGCCCCTATTTGAACCATTATATGAGCTCAGTATGGATGTAGGGGATGTTGAGAGTTGTTTTCATTTTGGGTTGAGGATATGATGGAGGGATAGATGAAAAAGCATCAAGGTAATGATATTATGGACTGCAGAGTGGGAACACAGGATCCAGTATGTGGATAAAGGAATTGGCTGCTGGCAGAGAGAGAAATGCATCTTTCATTATAAATGAAAAGAATGGGGAAAGGTAGATGAAAAATTGATAAGTTTGTAAGTTTAATGTCAATAAATAAGGAGATTCTGTCTCAAGGCTTCTGTTTCATTGTGAAGTAAGATGTGGAATTATTTAGCAACAGTGAATCAGAATGTAGTCAGAAAGGTTTAGAGAGCAAAGATGATTTGGAACATCTTCTGGAGAAACAAAAAACTACCGATAAATGTTAAATGGCCAGTGGAGTTGGAAGGTAATGAATTCATGCTTGTACTCTTCTGTGAGATGGGGTGATGTTTCCCAGTATTGGTCCTCAGCATAGGTGCAAAAAGAAAAAAGTAGAGGGATATACTCATGCACTGTTGTAGATATGAAAGGTGGGTTCAAAGGGAGAACAATAGAAGTAAATGAACTTAGAATAGAGGGAATGGGCCATGGTGACAGACTGGATGCTGTATTGCAGGATACCATCACTGAACAAAGCTCAGGCCTCAAACTTACCTGGAAGGGTCTTGGCCAAGGTAAAGAGTGTAGAGTCATTGGCCACGAAACAGGAGGAGAAAAGCAGAGCTGAATCCTTCTGGTGAAGTTCAGCTAGCTCCTGCTCAAGCTCCACATGAAACTTACTGGTACCTGAGATGTTGCGGGTACCACCAGCTCCAGCTCCATGACGCTGCAGAGTCTCCCTGGCCAGGAGAAAATAGAAGAAATACAGGAAAAAGAAAAAATTCTTGTCAGGAACAGAGGAGCTGAGTAGGTTTCCTTTCCTTGACTGGGATCAATGTTGACTTAATGGTCCTGTATGAAGTGTGTCTTATGTGACCAAGTAGCGGGTGCAAGGAGGATAAGACATGCCCTTTCTTCTAGGGCTGGAGGGACTCAGGGATGGAGAGAGAAGCTAGACTGAGCTTGAGCTATTTGAAAAATCTAAAGGAGGTCACAAACCGTCTCTGACAATATTCAAAGGAAATAAGGAACAAGAAAAAATGAGAAAAAGAAGAAATGGAAACAATGTCTTTGTAAATAGGGGAGGTTGGAGGGGGTGAAGGGAGGGCAGGGGTATGGGAAAAAATGGGAATCAAGATCTGTCATGTAAAGGTACAAGATCCCAAAGATAAATGTAACTAACTGTACTGTATACTTAAAAAGTACCAATAAACTCAATATTTAAAAAAAGCAGTTAAATTAGGAGCTCATGGAGAATGGGCTTTGCTTGGTCTCCAATCGTTTTCCTCCATAGCACCAGACACCCAAGAGTTTAGAAAACATGGCGTGTTGAGTAACTTATTATGTGAAGCGTAGATGTGCTGGAAGACTTTGGACAAAAAGGGTTGCAGTAGAACCAAGGTTTCCACTACCAAATCTGGTCCTCAGTGTTTTCTAGATTTACTCCTGCAACTTATGATCCACATTACTACTCACTGTGTGGCCTGCAAGACCCGAGAGTGCCGGCTCATGCCCAGGTAGTCATTACTACACCAGACAGACACATCCTTGGAGGCTACAAATGCCTCAGGGAAGTGTTGGGCAAAAGGGTATGCATCAGCCCAGCGGTTCACAGTCTTGAACACACGGTATGTGTGGTCCTGTTTCTTCTCCAAGATCTTGTTCCTGAAAAACTGGTCATAATCAAAAGCATGGTTTCCTGCAGAAGTAGAGATAGGGATGAAAATAATTTATTTGAAATCTTCCTGTGTAGTCATTTTATCCATGTTGATTTTGACTCTCCAATTTTCTTTCCATATACTCATTTATTTGCTCAGTCACTGACTTGCTGGATCATATTAATTCTCCACTACTTCATTCAATCAATTCTTTGCTTACTCATTCACTTAGTAATCCATTCACACATTTACTCAGGCTTTCTATCTTTGTCACAGCCTCATTCTCCTTACCAGGGTTAGTGTGGAAACATCCTTACTAGAATTACAACCTTCATACTCAGTGGAAGAATTATCAACATATCTAGTTTCTAGTCATGCCTCTGATACTTGCTACTTGTGTGGCCTGAAACCAGTCATGAATCCTCTCTGTTTTAATGTCCACATCTACAGAATAGGGCTAATAATGTGTTCCTTGCAGAATTATGAGTATCTGATGACAAACAGCATGTAGCACACCCAAGTTAACAGTTTAACAGTTGGCACATATTAATAGAAGTATTAGTACTATTATGATAATAATAATAATAATAATAGTAATAAGAATAGCTAATACTTTTATTAACATAGCCAACATTTAATGAATATTTAATACACATAGGCCATCTTTCAGGAACTTAAAAAATTATTTCATGTATTACAAGAACCCTATGTGAAAAGTTCTGTTAGTATCTCTATTTTACAAATGAGGGAACTGATGCCTAAGGAGGTTTGTTAACCTGATTAAGGTTATACAGTGACTTTCTAGCAAATAAATGATTCATTAGGTTAAAAAAACTGACAATGGTAATACTATACATATTATTTGGGTATATTTATATGTATATAAAAACAATACACTAAACTGGAGGAATGCATAAAATAAGAAATAAACTAAATTATACATGGTTAATTAAATGAATAATGTTGTATCCACACCACAGACACTTGTGAAACATTAGTAATTATTATGCAGATCTATGTTTTTGGATATTCAACAAGGCCCAGGTCATACTATTAAGTGAACAAAGCAGCATAAACTAACACCAGATACAATAAGATCATATTTTTAAAGAAAACATGTATATGGTGAGAAGAGTAGAAAGGGGTTCTCTGTGTGTATGTGTGTGTGTGTGTGTGTGTGTGTGTTTGTGTGTGCAGGCATGTTTGTTTAGCCATAGAAATATATCTTATAGAAAACATTAAAAAAGTTATGGTGGATGGTATAACTCTGAGTTACATAAATTTTCCTCTTCATATTTTCCTGTGTCTGTTGAAAAATATTTAAAAATGAATGAGGTTCTTCATGTGTTACAAACTTTGAATGAATTCCAGTATGAAAACTGAATATAAATGCATACAAGAGGGGTAAAATGCTCTGGGAAGGGTGAGAGGTTTTGAGGGAAAGAAGAAAAAGAAATAATGGGAGCAAGCCTAAAACATTTAATGAGGCCTTGTGATAACATACTATACATGCTACAGTTAAGTAAATATAATTATTTTCCTCATGATAAACTGTTAAAGGTATTAAAATACCACTGAAGGGAAGTAACTTACTTGCTAAAGCACATAGATCCAGCAAGTTCTAGAACTCAAATTTAAACTCAGACACTCTGGTTTCAAAGTCCTTCCGTTCCCTTTCCTCTATTGTCTCAGACACCCTTTCTGCCCTCCTTCCCTTTCGTGACCCCCTTTATTTTCACCTCACCACACTCACCAACCATATTGTTCTGAATCAGATGTGAGAGCATCCCTGAAGTCTGTTCTGCATCCTGAGGATCAGAGAACGGCTTCTGTCTAGTTGAGTCCAGGGAGCTTGGCAAGTCTGAGAGATTGGATTCATTGGTATGAAGAGGGGAGAATAAAATAAAGCATATGTTGTACTCTTTAGGCTCAATGCAACATACAGAAAGAAGTCTATAAAGTGTAGAAGATTTCTCCAGAAAGAAAACAAATCTTCTGAAAAATGAGCTCCTACTCATTTCCCCATGTGACAAGTCCTATAATGTCAATAAACTTTCTATAAGGTGAATCACAATTCTCATCACTAGGATTTTCCCTTGGGTGAGGTAACTAGAGCAGACAATCTGAGTCCTGCACTTTGGAGATAGATGCACCTTGTTCTTCTTTTCTGTAACATCATTAAATTTCAATTTTAAATCTCAACCTTTTGTCCTCAATTATATTCCAAAATAAGCTATGAAAGATGTGAATAGTGTGGCCATCTCTCATGTTATAATCTTTGGTAGTCCGCACTAGTTGAGTAAATATAGTAATCATTTGACTTGGGGCCTTCCAAAGGCTATATCCTGTTGAAAAGAAAATTTTATTTGAATTTGTTTTAATGAAACTGCTAATTCAAGATGGTTTTCAGTGAAAAGGGGGTATGTTATGTAAAAAAGTAAAATAAAATAAAACCCTTTCTCTTTCATGCAAATCCAGCTGCTCATAATGTGCTCTTGCATAAGTGATGGAGCTCAGCCTGTTGGGATTTATTTAGCTAGCTAGGAGAGAGGAGGAGTCAGAACTCTGGAAGGCTTATCTCCCCCCTCGACACCTTGTACTGGGGATTGAACTGAGGATCTTGTGCTTGCCAAGCAGGTGCATCACTGCTGAGCTACAACTCTGGACTCTAGAAGCCTTATTTAATCAGATTAATGCCTGAAAGTTAGGGGAGCCCACACATATGTGTTGTGCTGGGTGTACTTCATTACACAGTCTAAGCTAATTCCTACCATAGCTTCTGTTCAAAAGATTTAGACTTCCCATTACTAGCTGCCTTTGCATTAGCCTAGCTCAGGGCTATGATGAAATGGTTTCAAGCAATATGGTAGAGGTTGGATAAGGTGGAACTCAACTCCAACCTGTCTTGAAAATTTTCACATCTTCTTGGACTTCTGGGGCTGCTTTCTGCACAATCTTGCTCTTTCCATCCTGCAGTTCTGACAGCATGAAGGGACAGTGGCCCTTGGCCCAAGATGGAGAATCTATGAAAAGATTAAAGAGTAATTGAGGGTACATTCCTAGCTATAAGTTCAGTTCAGCAATGATTATTAAAACCTACTGTATCACAAAGCCTATGATAGAGACACAGAGCTAGATAAGTCTGGTCTCTATTCTAAGGGAGCTCTTAAAGTGATGGGAATGGCACACTGAAGACACATTGTGCTAAGATAATAGAGAAGACAAGGTTTATGGAAATCTAGAAGATTTAGGGGATTATGACCCAGAAATGACATTGGACAGGTTAGAGGTCTATGCAGGCTTTGCAAAGGAGATGATCCCTAAGCTCAGTGTTGAATGAGAAATATCAGATACTCTGGTACTCTGTGTGGAACAGAGTAATATATCAGGAGTATAGGTACATAATCTTGTGACAGTAGGTTTGAATCTAGACATTTTAAGTGGTTTCAGCATGACTGGAAAATATTGTATGAAGAAAATGGAGCAGAACTTTTTAGAAAGTCTGGCAGAAGATATATCCTTGGTATATTTTTAGGTCAGTTCATTCTGTCTTGACATTTTTCACATGAACTCTGGCCAATATGATTTGGAACCTTGTCTTTATGACCCACATATTAGCCCTTTGTGCTAGGAACCTCTTCTTACCCCCTCCAGCCTTAGTTGCCTTAAGGTGGATTTGAGAATAGGTTGGTCCTTGGGTGGCTAGGATGGGACAGTGTCCAATACGAAACAGGAACTGATGAGTCTTCATCAGTTTGCCCAGGAGGCCAGTGGGAGTCCGGGCAAGCACTGGGCAGCACTGTAGCAACATGGCTGCTGCTACCGTGTTGAACCCGAACTCCTGTGGAAAATGTGAAAGAAATGAGATTCCATTATTAAGATCTGTCCAAAAAGCCAAAAATCATTTTTGTGCTGGCTCTTTTGTCTTTTCTTTCCCACCCAAAGCTTATTGCCTTTTTCAGAGATGCCCTTATTTGTACTTCCAGAGAAAGAACTTCTATTCTAATGTTAAATCATACCAATAGGACATCAGAGAGGAAGAAATGGGAAACTGGCCTCTAAGCCAAAGGGGTGAAGGAAGGAATTCTTACCGGAGGACAGAAAACCAGGATTCTGACACAGATTCTGCTCCTAAACTCCTCTGAGATTTTGAGGATCGCTGAAGTATGTTTATGTGTGGCACAATGAGAGTTGACAACCAACCAACATTTTGATCAACATTTAAGGCCAAGACTTTCTAAGAATACTGGCATTAGCTGAGTAACGATTCTACCTTTTAATGCAAACAGACACAATTAACCAAAGCTCCTAAAGATTGATCCAGAATGTTTTCTGAGCAGATTCTGCTAAAGAAAGAGAAGCTTGAGGTCAGAGTTATTAACTTGAAGAGATCCAGGGAACAAGAAGAAAAGCCAGGCCATAAGGCTACAGACTGCGTAACATCAGTCTGGTGTTTCATTATCTATCTTTGGATTTTCTCTGGACTTTTAGATAAGCCCAAGAGAGGAGGTGAAAGTAAAATGCAACAGTGTTGGAAGACAAGGCACAGTACATAGTTTACACATCTGTGAAAGAAGCAGAGGCTAAGAAAGAGGAAGGGGGGCAGAGAGAAAAATCAGAAAAAGAGAAACCAAAGAACACATAGCATTTCATAAATATTTTTTTAATTTGGGAATAAAGTAATGAATGAACTGGACATGAAATGGAGGAAAGAAAAGGGAAGCAGTGAAAGAGTAAGACAAAAAGAAAAGGTAAAAGAGAAAGTAGAGAGAAAAGGAAGATGCAGTGAGGTTAGAAGAACAGAAATTGTGGGGGAGAAAGTGATCAAAGCCAAAAGAAAAGAAGACATGAGGACAGTCATAGAGAGGAAAGCTGTTCCTGAAATACAGTGCAAGAGAATGATGGGAAAGGCAGATTATAGAAAAAAATAAAATGAGGCAAAGATAAAATGAGAGAGAGGAAGTGTGGGGAGAGACTATGCAGGGCTTGAGGCAGAGACAGACAGATATATAGAGAGATGGAAGGGAACGTGAGGAGAGCTCTGAGAGCCCATAGGAAAATACAGACTCATAAAACTGAGAGCTAAAGTGTACAGAATCCAGAGCAGGGGCTGAGAGTCAGTCAGACACAAAGGTAAAGGAGAGATACTGGGGAAGTTTAAGCAATAAAATAGAGTTAAGAGGACCAGGGATGTAGTGAGGGAGATAAGAAAAACTGCCTAGCATAGAGAAGTGAGTAAAGAAAACCACAAAATTAAAGGATAGAGACAGAAGTGGCTAAAAGGGGGAAAGGGAGGATTGAGAGGTGGGAAGACTGAGAGATGCCAAGAGAAATACAGCTAGAGATGGCAAGAGGTAGAAAGAGATTGAAAGCAAAAGGGCAAATGTATAATCAAAAGGTAAGACAAGAAAAGGTGCAGTGCAGTGGGAGAGAGATGGGGCAATATAAGAAGACTAAGGCAGCTCTGGCACTACCAACAAAGCTATTGAGTAAAATCAAACAGCACCCTCAATGTACAAGACCTAATTTGAGGGAGAAGTGAGCAGGAAGAGCTCATGTCCCCATCCTCATTGGCTACTTCCTTAATCTGCCTCCCTCCTAATTTCATAGAGAAAACAACCTCCTCTAATTTCACAAAGTAATTTGCTCCCCTTATTCCATCTTAGAGTATCCTCCCTCACTCTGACAGGCCGTCACAGCATCCTGGGTTACTATGTGGGCCCAGGGAATGTGAGTCCTGAAATTAGAAAACGCAGAATTGTTAAAAAGTTTAAATGAAATAACCCATGTGAAAACTTTAAGATAGTGTCTGGCACACAGTAGATTTTCAAAATAAATGTTAGCTTTTCTTAATTATATACCAGCTACCAAATTCCTTTATTGGATGTTCTTGGGCAAGTCACTTCCCCTTTTTTAGTGTTTGGCTTTCATCAGCTGTCAAATGTGAGATAGTTATGCCTATTCACGTCATAGGTCATAAATTGGATCCAGTACCTACCTCATGTATGGAGATAAGAGTTTCCATTCCCTTGCCTACCCACGAAGCCTACAGCACTCAGGGATGAGCCTGCAGACCACAGATAAAGCTCCCAGAGCTTATCATCACTGGAGTCTGATCACTCCCAAACCTTGCCCAGGGCGTAGGAGAGAAGTGGAGCCCCTTTCTGGAATCACATCTGAGCATCTGTCTGGGGTTAGCTATTGAGCATCTGGCTGTTGGCAGAGAGCAAAGATAGATGGCCCATGAAGAGGCAGACAGAGCAAATGGCCAAATTCCTGTAAACTCCTTCCCCTTATATCCACACCAACAACAATAATGACAATACTGAAGTACATAGTGAGAAGGAAAGTCTCTAATATTGAAGGCCAAGTCCAATCCTGCCTCTGGATAATAGTAGATGTTGGCCTATCTTCTGTGGATAAAAATGGAAGTCAGTACACTTACAATTTCTAAGGGGATTTCTGCCATGATGTGCTCCGGAACCTGAGAAAACAGACGACTTCCAAAGGTTTTTCAAGTTCCAGTTCCAATTTTTCCTGCTCTGGTACTCCTTTCCAGGAATTTACTTTGCCTGGCCATAATTATAACCCATAACTATGCAGTTTAGGCAACTTGGGTTCTGTATCCTTTCCATACCATTACCTGCCATGAAATTGGAGTGGATAAAATTGAATCAAGGAAATATTTTAGGTAATTTAGGACATTAAGAGCATAGGGCTTGAAAACACTGGTATAGGAAAAGACTTCATGAACAAATCCTCAGAAGCACACGAGCTAGCACAAAGAATCAATAACTGGGATCTCATCGTATTAAAAAGCTTCTGCACTGCAAGAGAAAACACCAACAGAGCTAAAAGACAATCTACAATGTGGGAAAAAAATTTTAAAGCTGTTTCTCATACAAAGATCTATATCTAGAATATATAAAGAACTCAAAACTATCAGCCCCCCCAAATATAAAGACCCGATTCAAAAATGGACATCTGAAATGAACAGACATTTCTCAGACAAGCAAGTAAAAGCAGCAAATAAATATTGGAAAAATGTTTAACATCACTGGTCATTTGAGAGATGCAGATGAAAGCAACACTGAGATTCCTCCTCGCCCCACAAAGAATGGCTGCTATCAAGAAATCAACCAATAACAAATGTTGGCAGGGTTGTGGGGAGAAAGGACCCCTTCTCCATTGTTGGTGGGAGTGCAGACTGGTGCAACCACTCTGAAAATTAATATGGAGATACCTCAAACAACTACGATTCTAGGTCCCATTTGACCCAGCTATCCCTCTACTGTGTATCTTGCCAAAAGAATTAGAATCATGCCACAGTGATATATGCACATGCATGTTTATAGTGGCACATTTTGTAATAGCTAAAACTTGGAAGCAGTCCAGTTGCCCATCAACTTGTTTTTGAATCTTGACTCTACCACTCACTAGCTCTGGGATTTTAAGAGAGTCATTTTTATGCTCTAGATCTCATATCTATAATATATAGATGATAAGAGGGATGACCTACTTCACAAGGATGTTATGAAGATTCAGAAAGATAAGTCATATAACATATTTGGGAGTATGTCTATCCATGAGTAAATATTGAAAAAATATTTTTCTATGTAAGGAAATTGAAACTACAGCCATGGAAAGGCACATCATGAGCATATCAAGCTATGTCTGAAATGCTAGAGCCCTGGTTTTTGTTAAAACTTACCATCTGAAGTTGGGCTCTGTACTTCCCCTACGTGGGTACTATATTCTCATTAGACATTAGATTAGATAATTTAATAAACCCAATTTGGTTATGATAGTCAAATACTCAGAGCCCTTTACTTTTCCAAGCTCTGTTGTAAATGCTTCATAAGCATCAATTTATTTAATGCTTATGACAAACCTATGATAAAGAATCTAAGGACCCAAAAGATCAAGTAACTTGTTCAGATCACAGAGATACTAAGTGAGAAGGCAGGATTTCAATTAACAATCTGACTCAAGATCACTAATTTAACTACTATGATCCGTGATTCAAATATTGCTATTTTCTTAGTAGAGAGCCTGACTCCAAATATTCTCCTCATTTGCTGAATGAACATAGGCATCTTTTCAAGATATTGGCTTTTTGTGACTAATATCTGTACCAAAAGAACAGATCTCTAGTTGAAGTAGAATTTCAGGTACTGTCAAACATTCATGCATTCCACCATTTAACAATTTATGCAACCCTGTGTCAAAATGCTTGCTAGCGATCTTTTACAGTGATTTCAACCAGACACAGATGGAATTTCAGGCCAAGTGACAGATCATTACTTACATATTTTCCCCTACATATTTAAAATTTTCTTTCACATCAGCACCCAATTGACAGTCCTAGAGGTCAGAAGGACCAATCACAACTCAACTCCAGTAACAAGCCAGATACCACTCATTACAGCATTCCTTACCTCCTTTGCTTCACAAAAATCAGTCTGTAGGGAAACTGGCTAATTTTTTTCAGGAGTTAGAAGCATCAGGTCTTATATTCCTTTCTAGTACCCTCATCCCACTATCAATGAATCATACAAAACTGTATATACATGGAATCAGAGAATCAGAAATTATTAGAAATAGAATACAAATCTGCTTTCTGAATAGTGGCACATTTCTCTTTTACCATTATTTATGTTATTCACTTCTCAATTCCCCCAAATCTCTCCTTAACCAATTCTTCATTTTCACTCTCATCATATTCCCTCAGTTTTTATTCCCTATCTCTGCCCCCTAGGTTCTTACCCATTGAGTTCTGCTCTCTTGGCCAAACAAAGGGGAAGTGAAGTGAGGGAGGAATGGAGAATTGGAAGAAGAAATATTAAGACATCTTTCTTGATAGGCAACATAGAAGGACAGGAAGAGAGAGAGAAAAATAGAAATAGAGAGAGTTGAAACAAGAGACAGAAAGAAGGGAGAGAGGTTCAGAGAAAAAGATGCAGAGAAAATTCAGTGGAAGGAAAAGTATGACAAAACAACAGTGCTGGACAGTGAAGTGAGTGATCTAGAAAACTAACAAAGGAGAGGAAATAAAAGGAAAATAAACAAAGGAAAGCTAAAAACAGGAAGAGACATGGAGGGTGGAGAGAAAAATAAAATGACAGCGAGTTTCTAAGAAACAGACAAAAGGAAAGTTATATCTAGTTAAACCAGAAAGTAGGTATGCATGGATCTGAGGTGAGAGCAGACAGACAAGAGAGAAGGACCAGCCTGAAAGCAGTTGTTACCTGTTGCCCTGCACTGAGGACGAACCAAAAGACGGATGGGTGCTGTGGATTAGGGCCTGGCATTTATCCCTACCCACTGGTTTAGCTCCACCTACCCTGCCTATGGCTGGCTTGGCCCTATATTGGCCCCAAAGGCATCTCAGAGATAAAGCTCTAGAGATAAAACTCAGTAGTCCCTTCTGGCCTTTCTCCTCCCCCAGCTCTCACTCTTCCCTTTCTATTTTCTTTCACTTCTCCCTCTAGGGTACTGTAATGAGCTAATTTGAGCTTTAGGATTAGGACCATTCTTATAGAACTAGGACACAGTTGAACAAAAAACACCCTCTGGCCCTCAGTTTCTTCCAGCATAAAAGGAGGATAAAAACCAAAACAAAACAAAAACAACAAAAAGTAATTGTTACACAAGTGGGAAAGGGTTTGAAGTCCAACGTAGAATACATGATTATGCTTATGAGCACAGTTTCCACAGAGCTTATCTCAGGATTTTGTAATGATTCAATAACATCCTTCAGTAACATCATTTTGTAATTATTTATAAGTGTATAGAAAACACCACAATGCTTAGTATAAACAATAAGAGCTAATGGCGATTGAATGCTTACTATTAAGTGCTTTACATGTTTTAACTTAGCCTCATAAGAACCTTAAGGGATAGATACACTTTATTAAGAAAGTAGGGCTCAGAGAGATGAAACAACTTAATTATCCAAGTAGAAAGTATACAGCCCAACTATGAACCCAGGCAGTCTGATGCTAGAACCCACATTCTTTGTTCCCTCTCAGAATCTACAGTTAAAAACTTGTTCTCTATCTTCTTTCTATTACCTTCTCCTTGTCCTTTTCTTCCTCTTTTCTCATTCTTTTTTGCTTCTTCCCTTGTCAATTCTAGGGCAGTAAGATTATAACAAGGCAATTTCATCTCTGGAGTTCTGCTCTCTTGGCCAAGCAGAGAGGAACTGAAGGGAGGGAGGAATGGAGAACTGCAAGATGAAATATTAAGACATCCTTCTTGATAGAAAACATAGAAAGACAGGAAGAGATAGAAAGAAATAGAAATCAACCGAGAGATGGAGTTGAGGCAAGAGACAGAAAGGGGGAAGAAATCATTAATATCATGTCTACATAAATGAAATCATAGTGTACATATTATCTATCATTTGTATTTGGCTTCATGACAATATGCCAAGATCTTTCCACATAAATTTTCTGTTTAATGGTGCTATAACATTATAGAATCTGAATATACTGCAATTTATTCAAACACTCCATTATTAATCGACATTTAGGCTATTTCCTCATTTTAAATAATGAATAATGTTGAAGTAAATATCTTTGGGTATATGCAGGAGTAGTTTTATAAGATGACATCTTAAAAAGAAAAATAGCATTCCTGTGTCAATATGTTTATAGATATTTAAAATTTTGGTACTACCCTTTGCGTATGCTGTAGATCCCCACTAGTGGTATATCATAGTGTGAGTGTGCATTTTATCACAAACTTTTAAATGTTATTATCATTATTATTATTATCATTATCAATCTTTAGAATCTTTGTTAATCTTTAGGCACTAAAAGTGGTATCTTGGTCTTGCTTTGATTGGTTTTGCTTTTATTATTAATGAGATTGAATATCTTTTTATACATCTATGCATCATTTGCATATTTCCCTTCTGAATCATGTGATCTACATTTTGTTCATTTATGGAATGGATTTGCAGAAAAGTTAATGGGAAAAAAGTACTTACTCTGGAATCAGATTCACTCACATCTTCTTAGCAGCTGTGTGGTTCACAAAGTCCAGATCCTTATCTGTTAAATGAAACCATCATAGAACCCACTCCATAGGATTGTTGTGAGGATGAGATGTAGTTATTATTATTGTTTATGGTTTTCATTTTTTGAGTTGTAGGAGAACTTTGAATTATATAGATATTAACCCTTTCCCTGTGATATTTGTTACTTCATCTGGATTCATTCATTAGTTAAACAAATATTTATTACATACTTATAGTGACTCAGATACTGTGTAGTAAGCGCTGGAGATACAGCTGAATGGAATTTAATAGTGTAGACACATCATGGTGCAGATTGTCTCCAGTTCTTCTGGGAGGTATGACAAAAGAGCTGCAATGAGCTCAACCTCCAACTTTTTAGCTGGCTACTCATTTGACACAGTAGATATTGAGCTCAGATATCATCACCTATGGGAAGATCTCGCTAACTCCCACATTGGCTCTGGTTCTCTCTTTTGGCCTCCTGTATCTGTTCTCTCAGAATTTATCACACTGTATGATTTGTGTCTTGTTTTATATCTCTCTCCTCTATTAGACCTATTGAGAACTTGAAATAGGGATCTGGAACTCTTGGCAAGAGAGTCTGTCATAAATGCTTGCTGCATTCAATCGCATTTTCTCTGATCCTTCCACCCATACCCAGGAAAGGATGTGGGATGATAAAACCCACTGAGATGAGCAGACCTCCAAGCTGACCTAGAGAAGAATGTGAAGTGTCCTACTGCGTAAAAGTAGCTGGAGCTTCCCAAGTCGTTGGGAAGGATTCTTAGATTGAGCCTCACTGGACTATTTCTGGTTCAGGTGAGTGAGAGTCAGTGGTTGTGGTTGAGTCTGACATCACCTATCCTTTACGCAAAAATGTCTCTGATTTTCTCTCTCTCTCTTTGGATGATGGGTACAAGGTTTTCTCTTGAGAAACAGGGCTCTCTGGAGAAGGAAGTAAATTTCACTTTTCCATGGTTCCCTCTATCCTCACACTAATTAGTTCTATGTCTTAGGTAACTTCCTACCTGCCTAGGGATTCCCCTGGGATCAGAGTCTAGGTCTGCATTATTTTTGTATCTCCAATGTCAAACTGGAAAAAAGTAGATATTCAGATAATATCTGCATGATTGACTAAACTTCAATGATTTAGGTGTTTCAACTTTTATCTTGCAGTTGCACTGCAGTGAACAACATGGTACTTAGAGCTTTGTTTTTTCTTACATTGTTTTCTTAGCATTAATTTTCTAAAATCTCCTTGAAGTATAATTCATAAATCATAAAAATTATCCATCTTAAGTATACAATTCAGTTATAATTAGTATATTTATAGAATTATCCAATCACTAGAAATGCACAAATGTAAGTACTGATTTTTTTTTTTCATCGAGTTTATTGGTACATTTTAGGTATACAGTACAGTTACCTTCATCATTGGGATCTTGAACCTTTACATGATTTTTAGAAGTGGAATTGTTTGAGTAAAAGACATGAACTTTTAAAAGATTTCTTTTTGTAGTATTGGGGATTGAACCCAGAGGTTTCTCAGTACATCCCCAGCACTTCAAATTTTTTCATATTGAAATGGGATCTTGCTAGTCACTAAGTTGCCCTGGATGGGCTCCTGACTCAGCCTCCCAGAGGCTGGGAATTAAAAAAATTTTTTATACATATTATCAATTTTTTTACAAAAAACCTGTTGCTGCTATTGATGCATAACATACTGCTATTATGTGTCTCTCTCTCTCTCTCTCTCTCTCTCTCTCTCTCTCTCTCTATATATATATATATATATATATATATGTATATATGTATATATAATTTGAATTTTTG